TTCCTCTTCCTCTTCTTCCTCCTCCTCCTCTTCCTCCTCCTCCTCCTGCTCCCGCTTCAGCTGCCTTTGAAGTTCTCTTCTTTCGCTCTGCATCAGAAGGAATCTCTTCTTCCTTCCACTTGCCCACCGGCTGGTTCGTTTCCTCTTTCTTCTTGCCTTGATGTGGCGTATTGACTAGAACAGGTTGTTGTTCTGTTTTTTATTTTTATTTTCAAAGGCTCTTGTCGGCCTTTGCCAGGAAAAGGGGAGGGTTGCAGTTTGGCCAGAGCCACCTTAAGATGGTAAGGAAGGACCAAAGGCGATGACGGTGGGTAGGGTTGTGAAGGAATCTCTCCAGGTCTAGTCACAATACAATCCTGTAAGGCTGCAGGTGCGGCTAGCAAAGGGATATCTGCCCCCCCCCCCCCCATTTTCCCCACCTCTCCTTTTTCTCACCTCTATACTGAAGGGCAGCCTTCCCCATTAAACTTTGCCTGTTGAATTGGTCTACACAGTATTCCATTATTCATAGATGGCCTCATACATGGGATTGGTAGCTGGTTGCTGGAGGCATCAGGTTGGGGAAAGTTGCTTTAGAACAAGAATTACTATTCATTTTACATTCGATACTTAATCATTCTGCTTTGGGGCTGGCTCCTGGAAGAAAAAGTGGCCTCTTACATTAAAAGAAACTTAGAGCCTGTTATTATCTATTTATGGTGCAGTTTAGTCATATGACTACTATTTGCTTAGAGATGGCAACGATAAGGATTGTATTTAGAGTTGAACCGAGCTTCATTCAGTTCAGTCAGTAACTCTGAAGCCTTGCTGTATTGTCCAGCCTCTTAACAAGGGCAGGGATGTGGCATCTCCATCCTGTACATATTTCTTGGACCTGAGTGCAATCCTGAATAAGGGTGGACTTATGAAACCTGCTGTATTACCTGTTCACAATGATTTGGGAGTAAAATAATTCATAATTCCAATTTGAGCAAAAAGCATTGGTTCGTGCTGTGCCAAAGCTTTAAAAATATAGGATTGCATTGACATCGGCAACTGGACTTTTGCAGCTAGAAGAGGAATTACTTGCAAAGTTGGAAATTAGTATTAAAATATTGGTGCAAGTGAGATTCACTGTGTCTACATTTAGGTGCATACATTACATAACACGTTCTTTGTCTGCCTTGTGGAAACTGCTAGGTTGTTGCTATTGATTTTGGCATGTATTTAGCTATTTATATGACATTCCTACTTAAAACTGGCTACTTGCCCTTCCTTTTATGGTGCTCCATCTTTCAGCTTAATTACATGTCAGAAATTAAAATATATAGCCTCAGGGCTATGAGGAACCATTTATCAACTTTGTTTAATTTTGATTATAGCCATATTGTTATTTCATTGGCACTGGATGCTAAATTTATTTGAAAATATCCATAGCATATAAATCTCCTGTATTATCTCAGTAAAACTCTCACTGCACTTTTGAAGGATTTTGTGTAGATTGATATTTTTTTTTTTAAAAAAAAGCCAGTAACAGGTTATTTAAACATCATGGGGTTTCTTCTTAAATTTAAGACACTGCATTTATTTTTACCTTGACTTTCAATTATTTAATTGCCCTCTTTGTTAGGAAGACTTTAACTTTAACACCATACAGTTTAGCATTCACTATATTGATGTGTGCAAATAATAAAACAAAATGTGCATATGAGCTCTTTGCTTCTCACACTTCCAGTTTGTTGCCCATCAATGGGCTGTGCCAGCCTGTGGTCAAGGTCTCCCAATAAATATAAAGGTCTAGATCTACAAACTTTGCACTCCCTTATCTAGAAGCAAGTCTCTTGAATTTTGTTGGGCTTTCCCCCCTCAACAGATACAATAAAACTAATCTTAAGTGTTGTGAGCAAAACCTAGGTTTCTGAGTGAAACTTTTGTACTTAGAATTTGAATCATTGGATTACCACATTTCTGATAAAACTCATTAGTTCAATATTTGTGCATCTCTATATTTGAAAGTCCATAGAACAGGGCTGTCAGACTCGCGCCCCACGGGCTGGATGTGTCACATGTTGGCCACGCCCATGCCCAGTTTAGCAAAGGAAGGAAAAGTCCCGCTACCCAATAGTCACATGACAACAACATATGACAATGTGAGTTTGACACCCCTGCCATGGAAGGATGGTATAACACTTGTACATATGCCAGTATTCTAGTACAGGTAATCCTTGACTTATAACCCTTCGTTTAGTGGCCATTAAAAAGTTATAACACTAAAAATTTATGACTGGTTCTTACACTTATGACTGTCACACCACATGATCAAAATTTTGGTGCTTGGCAACTGACAATTGCAATCACATGATCCTTCCCAGCCAGCTTTTGACAAGCAAAATCAATGGGGGGGGGGAGGTGTAGCTGGATTCATGTAATGGCTACATGATTCACTTAATGACCACAAATATGGTAGGAAAAAAATCATAAAATTGGGCACAACTCACTTAACCACAACCTTGC